AAAAATACAATACGCACGTGACGATGAAAGACCACATTTTTGCATAAACCTGAACAACATAGATAATGAGGTTTATTGTGATTTTATTGTAATGCTAACGAGTTTCCAAACCATCTCCTCTATTAACTATGGTTATTACAAGAGGAACTGGATAGCTCTATCAATTCTGATTTTTTCCCTAGAGGTCCAGCAAGGCCCATCGCTTGTTGTTCAGATGTAACTACAGGAGAAAACTCAATTATTAACTTTATTTATATATTGGATAGTTCTACCAGTTCTAAACTGCCTATAGAGTCCGGTAAAGCCCATCCATTGTGGTCCCAGCGTTACCGCTACAGGAGGAAACCTACACTAAGGTAACTCTATTATACTGGATAACTAGCTCTATATTAATTCTAAACTGTTCTCCCTAGAGGCCCAGTAAGACCCACTCTTTGTTGTTCCAGTGTTACTACAGGATGAAACCCACACTAAATTAACTTTATTTAGTTCTAACTGTTCTCCCTAAAGGACCAGTAGTGTTAATCCTAGCTAGTTGTCCTAGTTTTGCCACAAGAAGAAACACACACTATATTAACTTTTACTGAATAGCTCTATAAGTTCTAAACTGTTCTCGCTAGAGGTCCAGCAAGGGCCATTTCTTGTTGGTGCAGTTTTAGCAATTGGTTTTACCGCGGAGGAAAACGGAATACCCGGAGAACAACTGCGGTGTTTTGTACAGTGAAACTGAAGGTACTCTTCTCACATATGCCTGAGGCGAAATTACCCCAATGAATTTATCAGGCTCAACCTTTTTTTATATAAAATCTATGTTAATTCCTACCTGACGAACAGAAGTCAATTGGGCTTCATATCTTTCTTTGTCTGTTGTCAATGATTTGATATTATCTTCAAATGCCGCAAGATTTTCATTCTTTTTAGCTAGATCTTCTTCCAAACTGTTTATCTTTTCTTTCTGGGTGAGTATTTCTGTCCTTAGACGAGCTTCTTCTTCAGAAGATATAGCGACAGCTAAAGAAATTTAATACACAATTTTTGATAGCTGAAAAGAAAGTCAAAAGAAATTCAGCATTCCCAATTCCTTCAGTGCTTTTAAGAGGGGAATCTCTTGTATGTTCCGTAACAAGCGCTCAAAACTAATGGACATGCTTTCCACTTAGTTATGACTGTATTTAATTTTTTTAAATTTTTTATACGTTTCTCAAGCGGCAAACAAACTTGAAAGGTATGTGTAGTGCTTTATCTGTAAAATAATGTTAAAATGAAGAGGCTTTAGATGGTACGCCAAAGAGAAAATGATGCCTGAAGTTCAGTAAGTTTTGCTGATATTGCTGTATAATTTTACAGCATCAATGATATAATTGTATTTAAATTGACAATACTACAAAATAAAGCTAAAACAAAGTAATTTTGAAAGGAATGCCAAAAAGATTTTAGGTTTTGAACACTTTTCATCGCAAATACGCGATATTTAAAAATTGCTCTGGAAAGGTTTTTTATTCCATTCAAATGTAGAGGTCCAGTGTCGATAATATTCTACAATAAACTGTCGTTTTTGTCACAACCATGCACCTTTTTCAGGTTAGTAAGAGTTAAGTAAGTAAGTGGGGTGTGCTAATCATCCTTACTTGCAGCTGAGAGCTAAGCTGAATTGCGAAGGACGCGGCTCAACCTGATCCAGTCGTAGGCTTTCTAAGGGCGCCTCTGGCTGCCACCTTATGACTCACGTCTGATCATGGAGCACACTCACGGTGGAAGGGTCAGTTTGGGGCTTATCCCAATCCATCTGGTCAACATTCCCAGCAGAAGAAAACCAGAGTACCCGAACAAAACCCACGACTTTCGGTATAACGTTGACTGACTCTTGTCACATAAGTGTCATGAATCCATAGCGAGAATCAATCCCATGCACGATCTCAGAGGTGAAAGCTTGCTCTGACAAATGCGCTACCCCTATTGTGTAGAAAGTAAAGTGAAAAAGATCTAACCTGCTATGGTCTTCTCTTTATCTGTTTTCTCCTCAGAAGATTGTTGGATTTCTTCTCCAACCTGTTTGGTGACAACAGTACTTGTGGCAACTGCCACAGCTTGTCTGGAAAACAAAATACATATTTTTAAAAAATTGTAAAGTGTTCATTATTCACGGGATTTTGCCAGCACAGTGACTAGTTAATGCATGCGTCTTTGATCTGTGTGACCGGGGTTCAATTCCTGAAAAATCCAATTTTGTTCTTCCAATTTTGCTCGACCAAACACCGCAGGTACAGCGGTTCCCTTCAGTATATGGTAACACTGAAACAATACTGAACATCCCAACTGAACATCTGGGAGAAACAGTTTTGTTTCTATAAAGCTATCCAGTATATATAAACTTTGCGATTTGTGATTTTCAACTTGACTAGTTGTAAATCGCAAACACGTGAATCTGAATCGATTGCTGGACTTGCTTCAGTCCTATTAACATTGAAACATATTTCATTACGTCGAAGATTAAATAGGGGGATATTTCCAATAAATTTACTGGGTTATCTAACTGATCCGTAGGCTTACTTTTGAGTGTTTTCCAGTTCAATCTTCAAATTTTCATTTTCTTCTTTCAGTTTTTTCAATTCCACTTGCAATGTCTCAAATTCCTTCCCGCTCTTTTCCTTCACTTCATTTTCCCTCTTGTCCGCCTCATCTTTCTCTTTTGCCACTACCGTTTTCAATTCTTCATTTTCCTTTTCAATCTCTTCCACTTTAGATCTCATTCCCACCAGTTCTGCTTCTTGTTTCTGTTTGAGACCGCTGATTTCTTCTTCAAAAGTTGATCTCGTTTTCGCCATCTCCTCGACGTGTTGTGTGTCATTGTTGCCGCAAGCTTCACGCAACTGAAGTAGTTCTGTTTCCAACTCGCGATTGTTGTTTTGCTTTTTGCTCAGCTCTCGCTTCACTACATAACAAAATAGAGTTCAATATAGTTCTGAAACCTTGGTCTGACAATATGTACAGTACGTATGGCGCGGAGGGGGGGGGGGGTTGCTAATTATCATTCATGCTTGCAGCTGGGAGCTAAGCTGGATTATAAAGAGAACACATACATGTATGGTAATTTTTCCTGAATTATTATTAATTTTTACTTCTTAATTACATCTTCTTGTCTACCTTGAACATGATGTTTGTGATGTTACTCTGAGTGTGCATCCACACCGGGCAAACTAAAAAGTTTGCCTGACCACGGTGGGAATCCAACCCTCGAGCATGGAAACACAGAAACATAGAAACATAGAATCATAGAAGCATAGAATCATAAAAGCATAGACACGTAGAATCACAGAAGCATGGAAACATAGAAGCATAAAATCATAGAAGCATAGAATCATAAAAGCATAGACACGTAGAATCACAGAAGCATGGAAACATAGAAGCATAGAATCATAGAAGCATAGAATCATAAAAGCATAGACACGTAGAATCACAGAAGCATGGAAACATAGAAACATAGAATCATAGAAGCATAGAATCATAAAAGCATAGACACGTAGAATCACAGAAGCATGGAAACATAGAAGCATAGAAGCATAGAAGCATAGAATCATAGAAGCATAGAATCATGGAAACATAGAATCATAGAAGCATAGAAACATGCATGGAAGCATAGAATCATAGAAGCATATAAACATATATAGAGGCATAGAAACATTTCTGCATGGAACAAATATCATATTCACCTGAGTAGCAACACACACAAAATGCATACCTTCAACATATTTCGCATGTTTGTTATCTAACATGTTCGTGAGATTCTTGATAATAACAATCTGGTAAAAAAGGGAAATTGATCGATGAATGGCACAGTTAAAGACTCGAGTCATGAGACCTGGATTCGAGTCGGAATTTTTGTGACTTGTAACTTGATTTGTTAATCAGATCAACGACTTGTGACTTGACTTAGACTCGTAAGAAATGACTTGTTACCAATTGTTCAGGTGAACAATGCTGAACAATACAATATTGTTAACAACCAGGGACAATATGGGCAGCAAAATACTGTTCAGGCCTGTTTTCAACAACATTGTTACAGGATAGGCGTTTTTGCATTGTAGGTAAAGCATTCCAAAGCTGATGGTATCAGTTTAAAGAAAACGCAATTGAACTTCCTGTTTTCCTTACATTAATTGGTAGCGAATTCTACTACTCACTCTTTCTGATTCCAATTTTGAAAAATCTTCTTTATTCTTTAACAAAAGTTGTCTTTTCTCTTGAAGTAATGCCTTGTTCTTCTCTTTTAAACTCTAAAAGATGATATTACTGCATGTGATATAACATAACCATAAAACTCTATAAAATGGACACTTCTCGGCAGTGGTGTAGCTCTGGAACGATCATGTTTTACTTAGACGCTAATAAGATTGAACTGCTACATCTATCAAAATGTACCTAAGCAACATTATACAAAGCAAGTCGTATAATTTACATAACTGCGTTGTATTTGTTATTTAATTTGAGTTGGACAATTTCTGTGTAGTTGCATAACCGATTAACCATCCACGGACATTCAACTTCAATGTCTATTTCCTTATTTCCTATTTACAACACTGGAAAGGATAAACATTTTGGGATAGTAACTTCAAAAACTCATTAATAATTCATGAAGCAATTATCCAATCTTGAGTAAGAAATTAGTCACGTGCATACGTGTTTATACCAGCTAAAGAACACTTTAACAAAAGACCATTGTTATGCAAACTATATACATGTAAAGAATTTTATATAAAGATTTTTATATAAAGATTTTTATACAAAGATTTTTCATATTCAGATTTGACTTATTATGCAAACGTTTTTGAAGCCATTTAAAAAACTCGCAGGTCGTGTTTTATTAGGTCTAAAGCCTAATAAAAAAAGGTTTAAACCTAATAAAACACTCCTGCTCGTTTTTTAAATAGTGTACATTAAAAGTCACCCGAGTGACCCACCTCGTAACTGTTTTTCCAAAAAGTCTCTTTACTCTCCAAATCAGTTCGATGTATTTCGATAACTTGACGAAATGTCGAGATTTTCGATTGGTATTGATCCCGTATTGAGATCACAAATTGATTAAACTGTCCCTGGCTGTCTTCCTCTATTAGCTTGTACTGATCTTGAATTTGTCCAACAATCTTTAGATGAACACCTTTCATTCTTTTCATGTCATCCATAACCTACACATTGAAATTGTGAGGGCAAAGTTCTAAGTAGCGTTTAATAAATGAGAAGTATGGCATGATGACATGGTAGACATGAAAAGCTATGGTACGGTATGGTATGGTATGGTATGGTATGGTATGTATGGTGTGGAAACCTATGGTATGGTATGGTATGGTATGGTATGGTATGGTATTACATAGTACAGCATGTGTGGTGTGGAAACCTATGGTATGGTATGGTATGGTATGGTATGGTATGGTATGTATGGTGTGGAAACCTATGGTATGGTATGGTATTACATAGTACAGCATGTGTGGTGTGGAAACCTATGGTATGGTATGGTATGGTGTGGAATGGTATGGTATGGTATGGTATTACATAGTACAGCATGTGTGGTGTGGAAACCTATGGTATGGTATGTATGGTGTGAAAACCTATGGTATGGTATGGTATGGTATGGTATGGTATGGTATGGTATTACATAGTACAGCATGTGTGGTGTGGAAACCTATGGTATGGTATGGTATGGTATGGTATGGTATGGTATGTATGGTGTGGAAACCTATGGTATGGTATGGTATTACATAGTACAGCATGTGTGGTGTGGAAACCTATGGTATGGTATGGTATGGTGTGGAATGGTATGGTATGGTATGGTATTACATAGTACAGCATGTGTGGTGTGGAAACCTATGGTATGGTATGTATGGTGTGAAAACCTATGGTATGGTATGGTATGGTATGGTATGGTATGGTATGGTATTACATAGTACAGCATGTGTGGTGTGGAAACCTATGGTATGGTATGGTATGGTATGGTATGGTATGGTATGTATGGTGTGGAAACCTATGGTATGGTATGGTATTACATAGTACAGCATGTGTGGTGTGGAAACCTATGGTATGGTATGGTATGGTGTGGAATGGTATGGTATGGTATGGTATTACATAGTACAGCATGTGTGGTGTGGAAACCTATGGTATGGTATGTATGGTGTGAAAACCTATGGTATGGTATGGTATGGTATGGTATGGTATGGTATGGTATTACATAGTACAGCATGTGTGGTGTGGAAACCTATGGTATGGTATGGTATGGTATGGTATGGTATGGTAATGGTATGGTATGGTATTACATAGTACAGTATGGTGTGGTGTGGGAACCTATGGTATGGTATGGTATGGTATGGTATGGTATGGTATGGTATGTGATATATGGTATGATATGGCATGGTGTAATATGAAAACTTATGGTACTGTATAATATGGTATGGTATGATGTGGTATATTATGGTATGGTATACTGTAATGTGGTATAAAACAAATTATCAGTAAGCACAGTATGATGTGGTGTAGATACCTAGGGTATGGGATGGGGTGGCGTGGTGTGATATAGTATGGATGGTATGGTGCGATATGGTATGGTATAGTATGGTATGGTATGATATGGTATGGTATACTGTAGTATGGCATGGCATGGTGTGCATGGTATGAAAACCTATGTTATGATATGGTATAGTGTGGTTAAGTATGGTGTGGTATGGTATGTGGCATAGTATGGTACAGCGTGGTATGGTACGATCGATGTGGTACAGTTTAGCATGGTATAATATTGTATGGAAACCTATTGCTCTTGTCTCTATGCTGGACGTATAAAAGAAGAGACGGGAAATATACAATATATTACACTATACCTTTTGCAAGCAATCCTTGGCGTATGCCAACGGAATATACGCACTCTGCTCTCCAGACGAGGCTGGAATGGCCAACACGCCACTTGAGCCGGAAGATATTGTCCTCTCATCTGTCAGAAAACGGTAAAATTAATGAGAATTTGAGAGAGTGAAAGTCAGAAAATGAAAGAGTTCATTATGAAATTATAAAAAAATAAAATTTGGACAGTGCAAACTATTATAAACTTGCGCGGAAACAATTTTTACCAAAGAGATATATCCCGACTATAGAGCTCGACAATTGTCTCTCTGTAGCTCAGTTGGTTAGAGCGCTGCACCGGAATCGCTTGAACAACTGGTTAACCTAATGAGTGCCAGCACTTTCCCTCGACGAACAGTTTGTTCTTATATTTGAGGTGGTTGCATCCTCAATCAATGATTCCAGTTATCGACTAATTTTTTTATCTAGCGGACAAAAAAGACGAAATCTATCAATATCGTTATAGCTCAAAAGAGCATCCTAAAATTAGTAAAATTGCAAAGTTTGGTTGCGAAATGTTGTAAAATACGAACTGACAATATAGCCCTGTGAAATTACTGAGCAAATTTTTAGTATTTTAGTATTATGCGCGGAAATATGTACCACTTTCGGCTCAAAAGTGGCGCATTTTCCCGCGCGTAATACTAAAACACTCAAAATTTGTTAATTTCACAGGGCTACAATTTCCTTTCTTTACAATATTTTGCAACAAAATTTGGCAATTTTACTAATGATTTTACTACTTTGAGCTATAACTATGAATTAATGATAGATTTCGTCTTTCTTGTCTAGATCAAAATTTAGTCTATATGCCGTATATGGCTGAAATCATCCATTGAGGACCCAACGATTGCTCACCATGATTGTCTCCATTAGCAATAGCTACTGTACCAGGTTCAATGTTTGAAACAAGCTCGTTCTAGAATATTGACAAAACACATATATATGAATGAATGAATGAAGATTACTATTGGGGATATGCAAAATTTCTTAACCGGTACACATATAGTAGTTAATATAAATTAAACACGTTGTATAAATTAAATTTAGATTAAGATACAGTACCTCAGGCTCTGGTATAAATGGTTTCACAGTGGTACTTTTAGAAAATGGATTCTTCAACAACAGCGAAACACGACTACCAGAGGTACTGTCTGATTTCCCGTCAATGTCAGACGCAGGCTTGTTGTCGTCAATGTATCCTTTGTTACTGAACAGAACGCAAAAATGGTCACATATATAAATCATAAAATATTAAAGGTGATCTACAGTCCGTATGTAAACAAAGCCTTTGTTTACATTTTTGTGTCCAAAATATTGAGCTTTATTCGACAACTATTTATACTTTCAAGCTTCTAGAGTGTAATAAATGATCAAGAAACAACAATCAGGCTTTTCAAGAACTCAAAACATAGTTAAACTGTTTGTATCATAAAAAGTGGGCTCATTTGTGCACATGCGCAGATCGGACTGTAGATCACCTTTAAAATTAATACTGATATGCCAAACGCTAAAACCCAGTTTACTGTCGTGATAGCGTCTATATCATTACGCCCTGGTCTATATTAATGATTAAAAAAAGCACGCATACAGTATTGCTGATGGACTCCAAGGTCGATCCGTGATATCCTGTGTGGGACCAACAGTCACACGTCGTCTGAATTTTCCTTTTGCGCTGTCACGATCTCCGTCTTGAACTGGTGCTGAAGATGGTCTCTCCAACGCATTGTCTTCCCAAGCACCTGAACGTTAAGGTTATGAAACATAATTGTGGTTTTTCAAAATCATTTCGATTAGCGGCTGAAATTACCAGACTGTAAAATTTCGGCTTTAGAGGACATTAAAGCCCCGTTTACACTACGCTCAATTTTTGGTACGGCACGGATAAAATTGGTACCCGTACCACTTTTTTGGTTCTTGGACTACCTATTTAGGTAGTCCAAGAACCAAAAAGTGGTACGGTACCAAAAATTGAGCGTAGTGTAAACGGGGCTTAGCTAAATAGGTAGTCCAAGAACCAAAAAAGTGGTACGGGTACCAATTTTATCCGTGCCGTACAAAAATTGAGCGTAGTGTAAACGGGGCTTAAATTAATAGACAACTTGCATGTTAGACTAATTTTTTATTTAGGAAAAAAAAAAGTAAATTCCCGTAAAGAACTTATTAAAATACGTAAAATTGCAAAATTTGGTTACGAAATGTTGTAAAATATAGCCTTGCGAAGTTTGCATATTTTCAGTATATTTGTAGTAAGTGCGGAAATTGTTACCATTTTCGGCTCAAAAATGGTAACAATTTCCGCACGTAATACAAATATACTGAAAATATGCAAACTTCGCAAGGCTATATTTTCTGTATTTTACAACATTTCGCAACGAAATTTTGCAATTTTACTAATTTCATTATTTTCTTTTTAACTGTTCTGTTTCATTCCCTTCTCTTTACTTAGATTAAAATTTAGTCTAACATGCAAGTTGTCCATTTCCTGTGCAGTTGCGATATTGAAAAAAATCGATATATCGATATCGAAAAAAAATATTGATAATATCGACTATATCGAATTATGCAAATGAGAAAACGTAATTTAGTCAACTTGCATGTATATGCATCACAAACAGTTAAAAAGAAGTGCATGAAACCAGTCATGGTACATAACAACGGTTTATCCGTCATCTCCAACTCAGCTTTTAATTTCAATTGCCCACGCATTTGTATCATAAATTCGCAATTGCCGCCATACACACGTTGTCTAAACTTCACCGATGAAAACAATAATTGCCGAATAATCGCAGATTAAGTTGTTTAGTTACAACTTTCGATATTTTCGATATGCGAAAAATTATCGAAAATATCGATATATCGCAACTGCCTACCCAAATGACAATGCATTCAAAGCCAATCAAACTATCAGTTAGATCTATGCCTGTGACTGTCCCATACAATTTTGATTCACAAGATTCTAATTGCCACTTGGCTTAACAATTTATAATAACATTATAAAATTAGTAAGTTAAATTTTCTCTTGGGGGGGGGGCAGTTGCCCTTGCTGCCCCCTTGCTATGCACAGCCCTATTACCCACCATACCTTTAGATGGTAAACTGTCTGGGGTTCCTCTACCACTTTCACTGATTTCCTCATCAACAGGAGAAACTGTGTTTCTCTTTATTTTTGATTTCTTCTGACTTTCCAACGTTGTTTCGGACTCTGCATCGCCATCCTGCGAAAAACCATTTCTCGTACTTTCACTGACAAAAGTCTCGTGTGTGGAATTCACGTCAGATGTGGTTGGGGGTTCGGGGGTCCCTCCAAATTCTGTGTTGTCGATACTGTTTTCTGCCTCCCTCACAGAAATGATGCTGCCTTTCAGACGTTCACTGCCAGACTGACTCTCTGTGTCTGTCCATGCTGAGAATAAAATGACATGAGAATGTTTTTGGACTGATTCAAAAATGAAATTTAAGGATAATCTCTACTGTACTGAAAATCACATCAATTATTAATTAACCTATTAACCCAATAAGTCGCATTGCACCCTATTGTACCTTACTTTATTATTTTACTCTGTCTAACACCAGACAATTTATTTGTCAAGGGGAGAAAGCTGACACTCATGTTAATCTGACTATCCGGCCATGCATGTGTCTAGTTATAACCCATTGAGTTGCATTGTCTATTATTTTACCCTGTCCAACCCCCAGACAATTTCACTCATCAAGAGAAGAGTGAATGGGTTAACTTCTATATTAAATTAACCATTTAGCTGCAATCTATTGTATTTAATAGGGCAGTAAGCCCGAGTCTGGCACGTTTTTGCCTTCTGGGAAGACATAACTTTAATATTAAACAGTCAGTGTGCCAGTACGAGACATCCAAGACACATGTAGAGGTTCTATTATCTATCCCAAAATTAAAATATTGCCAATAATAACAAGCTTTCAGTTGATCCCTACCAATGAAAGCTTGATAACTTTAATATGCCAATTTTCATTAGCATGAAAATTTTTAGACAATGTATGGACATGACACATGGGCAGATAGTCTAATTACCCCATTGAGTTAGCACTCTTAACTTTCCTTGACAAATAAAATAATCTGGCGTTAAACAGAGTAGAATAGTGAAGTATGGCACATCTAGGCACAATAACACTTAAAAGGTTGACTTGCAGTGGCTTGCCAGGCTGATGTGTCAGATTGATTCATGCGTAAACAATGGAGATAGTCGAACCTCTCAATACGGACACTCTCAATACAGAGAGTTTCCAATGTTCTGACATACATATAAATTCTTGTATGTTTTCTTTTGAAAAAAACACTGTAAAACAGACACCTATCTAATGCAAACACTTTGCTGTGTTCCAGCAGTGTCCGTATTGGAGTGGTCTGAATGTATTTGTTCAGGATACATGATCTAGCTGGCTTGTCGCTGCATAGACAAGCAAGTCATCTACTAGAAACCAGACCAAAGGCTATTATCCAAGGGCTGCCGAAGCAGTGGGCACTGGGGTTGGTCCCCCCTCATTTTTTTGAACGTGCACATGAAAGTGCACAGCTTTTTGGATTATAAAATGTGCTCTATTTTAGAAGTTAGATAAAGGTTGCTGGTTATTAGGAAGTATAAGATTGGTCATAAAAGTTAAAGTGCAAAGATGTGGCCCTAGATGACAGGAAATTTTTAATTTATTTTGACACACGCTCCACATTTATTTTTTGTGTTTTTCGTTACTTTTTGTCTGAAATACGAGTTTGTTGAGGGCAAATTTTAGGACAAAATCCAATGCTCAGAATGCAGGAAATGACTTTTCCAAGGTTCAAAATTTTCCTGGGGGAGCATACCCCTGTTGTTCAAGTCCAGGAGCCACGGTAAGATTTTAGTCTGGATCTGCCCTGGAGTGCCCTTTTTGTCAATGCCCCAACACTTTTGAGTGCTATTATCTAGATATTGCACTCTTGGGTATTGACTAATTTATAATGTATTGATTTCCGGCCCCCTCATACCCTTTTAAAAGTGACATATTATTATACGTGAATAATTGAATAATTGAAATACTACATAACTGATATAATATTTTTCCCCAGCTAAATATATTATAACTAAAAACCACTGAAATAACAACATATCTCCTTCGTAGCTTCTACCTTGGTCTTTCAATTCTATCTCCTCAGATGACGACGTTTTCTGCTCCTTTTGAGAATGTTTTGACGGAGCAATTTTGGGCTTTCGTGTTGCCATCATTTTGGTAAAAAATTTGTAAAAATCCACTCAAAATTACACTACAATAAACGTTGAGATAATACATCCTCTTAACGCTTTCAAATCCGTCATAATGAAGCTGATTTGGGCTAAATTCCTGTGGTACTACGATAACATTTTAACAAACATTTGAATATTGTCCACGTTCACTGATGAAGAGCCAAGTCTTGAATTTCACTGGGCCATTCCATTTAAAAAGGTTACATAAACGATAAAAGACAAGAAATACAGCTAAATTTATAAAATTACACACCACAATCTCATTTTAGACTTTCACTTCAAACAGGACGTCCCGTGAAAGTGTTAAATTTAAAAAAAATGAATATTTATGAGTCCTTTCGTAATTTGTAACATGGAAACTTCTTTTCGAAAAAAACAAAACAAACCCGTTCGCAGGCTAGTTGCTAGCCTGCGTGGCAGGCGGTTTTTCTACGGGCAGCGAAAATTAGGGAGGCACAGGAAAAACCTGCGATCATGCGTACTAATGCATTAAATTTACCATATTTTTCTTGAATTTGTTTAATTTAGCATATTTCTTGAATTTGTTTAATTTAATATATATTAAATTAAACAAAAAGGGGGGGGGGGGGACCCTTATCCAGTAATGTACCAAATGTACCAAAATCCAGTAACATATTCATGAGCATTCTCATGAAGATTCTGAATTTTGGTAATACGAGGGCGTGTTCATGGGCTAATTGGGGAATGGGTGTTCTGGAAAGTGCTCTGCCTTGTTCTGCCCTTCGTGTACTAGATATTAACTTATTAAAGTGCAATGTGCTCTAGTATGTCGTATTTTACTCTTGTCGTACGTTTGTCGTAATTTACTCTTCCATGGTAATTCTCCGTCCTTGCAACCAGCAAGGCAAGTTTTCAACAAAAAATAAGGAAGCAAGCCTTGTGATAGTCCCTGCATACGTTCCAGTGATGAAAGCAATTGTTTTAGAAATCCTATATTGTTCTCCAAGCCATCCAGTCACCTAGGCTTACCTAGGCCTATTAATTAACGTCAGTTCACTAAGTTTTAGGCTTTTAGCTAAATGCCTAAATCATAGAGCTAAACCAAAATTCTCCCAGCTCTCCCACCATAAAACCTCCCTCTCCAATCACTGAGAGATTTACCGTAAACGTAGTTTACCCCAAAAGGAATTAGCAATATAGTACATGTCTTTGTAAGTCAGGCGTAGTGCACTTGTACTAATTTGGTAGCCGACTTGAAATCAAACTATTTTTGTCATCAAAAGTCACTGTTTACGTTATATGACACTTTATGTACTATATTTAAATACTATTAGTAAACCGGGGCTATAAAGTTTTCTCGACATTTTTTTGAGATAAATAATCACGCTGTCTCAAAAATTATAGTTGATATCTCGAACAAAAGCTAACAAAAACCACGCTTCCCTAATTTAATTGTTTTGTGAAAAAATTCCGGAATCGCGTAAAATGCACATTGTAGATTTCACGCGGAATTCCTTCGCCATATTTGGAATGATTTTTGATTGGCCGAGAGCTCGCAGAAGCCATTTTTGGGGGAGTTAACCGGAAGTGGGCTGACGTTATGTGGAAGGGTCGAAGACTTTTGCATATTTCACTCTTGGGCTGCCGTTCGCTTGTGAGCTAGGTTTGCAATTTGTCTGTCGCTCTACTAACAACTTCTAGTCTTTGCCCGTGTCTTGAACAATAAATTTTCAAAATGGAAGCCGTAAAGAAAAAGATGAACAATCTCAAGCAAACGCTCGAAGAAGCAGAAGAGAAGGCTTCGAAGGCAGAACGTGAACTAAAAGAAGCCAACGATCGGGCAGATTCGGTAAGCTCGAAAATTCTGTCGTGTAATTTTGATATTTTTCTGCCTTAAAAAGCGAAAATACTTACGAGGTAGACATTAATAGTTAGTGTACATTATATATCGTGTATTTTGAGAGATTTTGGATGCATTTTTACCGTGAAATTTGCACGATCTTTTTGGCCTAATGTCGAGTAATTAATGGTCGGAAATTCCATGTCTGACTTCGTTTACGTTCGAATGTTTAGGCCGAATCAGAAGTCGAGCATCTCACAAAACAACTGGAAGAGTTAGAAGAAGAGTTGGACTCAGCTGAATCGACTTTAGCCGAAGTAAACTCGAAGTTGTACTTGGCAGAAACGACGGCAGATGAGAGCGAACGGTAAGAACGTTTGCTGCTTGACACAAACATTCCAAAAGTTTACTCCTTTATTCCACGCTACTAATGTTGTCATAAACATCCCAATTTAACATATCACTTTCTGTGAAGGCATAAATATTGTAGAAAAGTAGAAAATTTGACAGATATTTGCCTGACACCAGTGACCAAATAGTATTACTGTTTACAAATTGTCTAGGTTGGGTTTGGGAATAGGAAGGTTAAATATTTGTGGCGATTTTTTGTTAAATTTAGGGTCGTCATTGGATATTTATCTTGGCATAATCACTGTATAGCAGTGTTTACGGTTTATAGCCGTGTTTATGTCTTTGTTTTGGGTATATTAGCGAACAGACACCGTGGTATTTAAATATAGTAGGTATTTTGGAATGAGTTTTCCCTGATTATTTATGGCGTTATCAAAAGTGTCAATTTACAACTCGAAAAATGTTCTAATAAGTGTTTACTTAAATGATAAATATTGGCATAAAAAAGGCACGATGCGCACTTGTCGCGAGTGTTCCGTGTATTCCATTAAAAATTTTAAGTCCGGGCTATCCCGTTTTCAAAGTCTGCATTACATATTCTGCATTATCTGTTGCCCAATTACCAAAGAATTTACGCATCTGTAAACAAGGATAGTCTTTTCAAGAGCTTAATTGCTTCGCCGAGTTTCATGGTTTCTTGCAATATTGCTTTTGCAGTATACCAGAATCGAAAACAGCTGAGAATTATGTCATGTTTTTGTTGTGAGACAAAATTTTCTGTTTGTATTCATATCAAAATACCCTTTGGGGGTGTGGCTTTTCAAGTGTCAGCAATTGTCTAGAAGGCACTTCTGTTTGCAGGAAAGTGTTAAATATTCAACTTTGCCATAGGTTTTCTTCATAATATTGTCTAAACACTGTTTTGTGTTAAGGGAGTTTATGACATTAGTTGCCATTTATGGTACTTGCGGCTGAGATGTTACATGTGGTAAAATGTGGTGATTGAAATCAGAAATCTGCACCGACCATTATCTTTCTGCCTCACTGTGTCTTTTATGTAGTAACAATTACAAATCCAGCAATAAGTGCATTTGTTGTTGTGTTGGAGGTTTAAGAATGGATTTGTGTATAAACAACAATGTAACACAACACCCTTTGGTAACTGTTTTTCTGAGTATTCCATTGATGGCTTTCTGTAAACTATAATGGGCAACAGATGGTGGTCAAATTCAGAAGTGATAACAATTGCTGGAGGATGCTAATTTGAGTTGTGTTTCTATTGTCAATCAGATGAAATACTAACATATGTGTAATGCAATGAATTAACGTAACAGTGACAGAATCGTAAGGGCAAGTAGCTTTCACCTCCAAGTTTCCACATACAAGACATAACCCTTTGCCAAAAGTTGTGGGTTTTCTCTGAGTACACTGGTTTCCTTCCACAAGGAATGTTGACAGGGTGTTTTGGCAGGATGGATCCAGCATGATCTGGTAGGGGGGGGGTGCAAAATTTTTTAGGGAGCCCTATTTAAAAAAATTTTCCGGAGAGCAATGACCTCCGTTGCACGGTACGTTGCAATTGGTTTCCAGTGACTTTACCCGTCTAGCAACCTGTTCCACTTTTGCAAAGTCTTGCTTGTAATTGTTGTTCACAGTTCGCTTATCATCATGTTATTGCTCAAATTACTGAATCTCATTTTGTCTCTAATAATTTTTTGCTTTATCATGAAAAATAGCACCCCCCCCTGCACCCCCCTGG